ATTTTACGGGTTATTTTCGAGGATAATAGATCTGTAAATGGCATGTATAAGAACAAAAGTTCCGCTCAGATTATAGAGACGATTGAAAATACAGTGTTGACTGTGTCCGCCGACATAGTGTGTTGGTTGTTCAATCATTTATGTCAACCTGGCTTGGGTGCCAGTCTTTTGATAGAAAAACAAATAAAAGAAATAGGCCTAATGATTTCTAATTATGAATAAGTGATAGTGTTTGGGCACTAACAATTGCAGAAGGCTGCGGCAGTATGAATAATACTAATACCATCAGTACCCACAACCCACTCCCTTCTTAACTTGACAAAACCTCTACTTGTAAGTGATAAATAGTTTTATAATGCGGTGTTGTAAACACTGTGCCAAGAATACGGCTTTTTGACTCCTGTATTTGGTAACTGGATAAAAAAAATGCAAGAGAAAACCTTGAGTGCAGCATCGTTTCTATTGATTAAAAAAAAGGTGTGCCTTTATTGTACTGCTGACAGCTGAAATGATCGACACAATTCTATCGCCAATTCCTTTGCGAATACGTAGTGAACAGTTGCATTAATAAGATAGAACCACTGTAAATTATTGCTAGGGCCCAGAGAGTGCACCAAAATCCACGCCAAGAAGCTAAATCATTTACACACTACGAAATGGTTCAGAGCAATTCTTGGCATCAGTCGGCTGGAGTTCTCAAGAGAGCAAATGACGAGATTGTTTTCGAAGCTTAAAAGAACTCTACTTCGATGGGCTGACCATGTAATCATGTCTGATTTCAGAATCCTTAAGTCAGTATTCTGTTATGAGCTGTCCTCGGGAATGGCAAAGTTTGCGCCTAAAAAACCTTGCTACTAAGATACAAGCACCATGAAAATGCATCCGTAGGACTTAAATCAACACTATAGTGCGGCCAAAATAATAATTCATGGCATTCTCAAAATCTCTTTAACCTTTACACCGCACGGCGCTCCACGTTAGCGCGCTGTTTTTATTTTACTTTGGAACGTAGCGTTCCTCTTTGGAGCGCGCCATTTCACAACCTTTCACGACGTGACGCGCCTCCCTGGATTCACGTACTTGTGCATGCAACAACAAGTTTGCCTTTTCTTTTTTCACTTTCAAAATTGCAAATTTGTAGAGCTGTAAAGGAGAGTATAGAAAGACAAAAGACGAACTAGAATAAATGGAGGGATTAGAAGATAAAATGCTGAGGGCTTGAAACACAAACAACTTTCCCCTCGTTTCTCAGTTTACTGGTACATGTATTCGGTGGAATCAAAATCTCACAACCCAAACAACCATTCGCATCAGATATTTACAGGAGGTAATGCGATTGGTGATGGAGGCAAAGACAGATAGAAGGGGAAAAAAACAAACAAAATAATTAAGAGTACATTCCGAAAGGTCTCGTTGGGACAAGCACTGAAAGAAAGTTTATGACTCACGACATGAATGTAACAACGGGCAGGGGCGGCTCGTGGTCAGTAGGACTGACCGGATGTGATTTCTATCGATACTGCCCCCTCAAAACCGCACCTTTACAACACAAACACACACACACACAGAAAGAGTGAG